GCATACGCCCTCCTACCTTGGCCAGGAAGGCATATGCACCGATCCTGGGTCAAGAATGGACGTTGTCAGGATCGGTGCATGTGCATAGTTCTCTTCGCCCGAGAAGGCGCCAGAGACGGTCTCCTCAGCCGAGGCGCGGCCCAGGAGCCTTCCGCCTGGCAGGACGGCGTCGACTCCGCCGACCCCGGGCCCCAGCCGGCCTGCGCGATGGGTGGGCTGCTGGCGCGTCGTGCACGCCCGCGAGCCGGGCGCCCGGCGCAGCCCCGACTCGGCAGCGCCCCTCGCCGCCCAGCATCGCGAAACGCACCGAGGTCTAGCTCCTCTTCCTGCAAGGCGTCCTCCTCCGCACGGTGGAGCTCTTCTTCCTGCAAGTCGGCCCAGTCCGCAGGGCCCCAGGCGTCGCCGAGTTCGGCGTCCAGGTTGGGCGGCGCGGCTGGCTCTGTCGCGGCCGCGAGGGCGGCGTGCGCCGCTGCCATCGCCTGCAGGAGCGGTTCTGGCGGCACCGCGGCCCAGGCCGCAGCCCCGTTCTCCAGCCCGTCCAGGAGTTCCCGCGTAGCCTGGAGCAGTCCCGCCGCCTCCGCTGCGGCGCCAGGCGCGGCCGCCCCTTGTGCTTGCGCCGCCCGCTGGTTTGGTTCTTCCTCCAGGGCGGTTGCCTCGGCTGCTGCCGCCGCGGCGTGGGCTTCTGCCGCCTGGCGCGTCGCCGCCGCCAGCGCCTCGTCTGCAGCTGTCGCCGCGGCCGCTGCTCGCCGCGCCGCCGCCCGGAGGTTCTCCAGGCGGTTGCCTGCGCGCTGCTGCGCCTGGCGCTCCCGGGCTGCTGCTTCCTCCCGCTGTAGCGGCTGCACTGCATCCAGCGGCGCGCCCGCCTTGCGCGCGGCGGCCGCAGCTTGGCGGAAGGCGTCGGCCTGGGCTCCTGGCCGCTGCGGCTGGCCTCCAGGCAAAGCTGGCCACGCCTCTGTGGCTCTGCGGGCGGCGCCCGCAGGGGGGGGCGCAGCAGCAGGTGCCCAAGCGCGAGGGGCCACGCACCTGCGGCAGGCGGCGCGGTCCTCGAAGTTGTGCGTGCCGCAGGCGCACTGCCACTCGGCCCTGCGGGGAGGCCGAGGGGCACGCCTGTCTTGTCCTTGTCCTCCGCCTCCTCCCCCTCCCGTGAACAGCGACCGGAGCACCTCGAACGCCAGCTCTGGGTCGCCCCGCGTCCTGCGAGGTTGACGGCGCCGCCGCTGCACCACCTGCCATGCCATGGAGTCGACTGTGAAAGGGAATGGGGAAAACAAACGGTGGGGATGCCAGAAGGGGGCTGCCAAGGTCGGAAAATCCTCGACCTCGACGCTCGGTCCTCCGCATCACCATCACCATCACCATCACCACCACCACCACCACCACCACCATCATCATCATCATCATCATCATCATCATCATCATCATCATCATCATCAGCATCGTCATCGTCATCGTCATCGTCATCAACATTATCACCATCATCAGCATCAACATCAGCATCATCACCAGCAGCAGCATCAACATCAGCATCACGATCATCATCATCAGCAGCAGCATCATCATCATCATAATCAGCATTAGCAACATCATCATCGTCACCATCATCAACATCATCAGCAGCATCAGCATCATCATTACCGTTCTCGCCATCATCATAATCATCGTTATCATCATCATCATCGGCATCACCATCATCATCATCATCATCAGCAGCATCATCATCAGCATCAGCATCATCATCATCATCCGCATCATGATCATCACCATCATCATCAACATAAGCATCATCAGCATCATCATCACCATCATCACCGTCAGCATCATCATCACCACCACCATCAGCCTGCTCGTCCTCCTCCTCCTCCACATCAGCATCATCATCATCAGCATCGCCATCCTCATCATCATCTTCATCATAATCGTCTTCATCATCCTCAACATTAACATCCTCCTCCGCATCCCCATCCTCATCCTCATCCTCATCATTCCATCCTCCTGCGTCTCCTCCTGCTCTTCCTCCTCATCCTCCGTTCCCATTCCGACTTCGCTCCTCCTTCTGCTCATCATCCCGCTCCTTTTGCGTTCGCCCATCTCGCCCAGTATCCTCCCCTTCGACCTCCTTATCATCCTCCTCGACGGCAGAAGACAGCTCAGGCGGGTCGCGGAATCCCTGCGTGAAGAAGTGGACGCTCTCCCGCGTGTTGCTGCCACGGTGGCTGCGGGGTCAGACGGCTCCGACTGATGTTGGTCGAGCGGGGGGGGGCTGTCGCGGCCTCGCCGTCGGCCAGTCACAGCCGTGTGGCGTGGGCTTCGAAATGGCCTGGGCGCCCCCCCCTCCGAACTGCGCCTGTCTCACACTGGCAGGCGAGGTGCTTGCCAGTGCCCACGCCCGTACAGCACCACGCTCCGACTGTAGAGCCAGCGCGCCGGGTTCCCCAGGCCTGTGCGCCTCGAGGCTGCGTCCGTCCTTCCTCCTCCTCCTGCTCCTCCGCCTCCTACTCCCCCTCCTCGTCCTCGTCCTCCTCCTCCTCCTCCTCCTCCTCCTCCTCCTCCTCCTCCTCCTCCTCCTCCTCCTCCTCCTCCTCCTCCCCCGCCCCTTCTCCCAGTCATGCCCTCCTCCTCCTCCTCCTCCTCCTCCTCCTCCTCCTCCTCCTCCTCCTCCTCCTCCCGACGCCCAGATCAGGCCAGCCATCATGAGGGCTTGGCCGCGGGCAGTCGATCACCTTTCCAGTTTACCTGTGGGGCAGCGCGCACGTCATGTGCGCGGCCCCATGACGACTGTCATCATGTACCTGCTGGATGCAGGTTGGAAGCCGATTTCTCCGACGGAATGGGAAGTGCCGCATGATGGATCTTCGTCGACGCATTCGTGGATGTTTCACGGGAGCGATTTCGAGGCTCTGGATCAGGCAGAGCCCCTTCTGGACGAGTTTCAGCGGACAAGGGAGCTTCAGCAGTGGCGGACTGCAGCCACACACTTCTGCGGCGACGGAGTCGCTGACGGAGTGGACATGGTCTCACTGCAGGCCATGATTTCCGAGTTGCAGGATGTTAAAAAAGGTAGGCAGTTATCTGAGTTGCTAGTCTATTGCCACAGGAGGCTTCTGGACGCGTGAGAGAAGTTTCCAGGCAAACCTTTGCAGTTCGTCAGTTTGCCTTCGGTGCGGGCAAGGTCCTGAGACTGCCTTGCACGGATGCTGGACTTGCGAGGCGAACGCCAGCTCTACGTCCAAGGCCTACGAAGATTCGAATGATCTTATCACTCAGGCTGTGTCGGAGTCCGAGGCGTTCTCGTGTTTTTGGATGCGGGGCCTCATTCCTGCCTCCTGGACCTCCGTCCCTCCCCCCGCTCCCGAAGAGGCCATCGTCGGAGGCAACTGGCTCGGGGGCTCTTTGGAGGACGGGTGTCTAGGGGTTGGCACTACGAGGGAGCCCCTGGTCCTGTTTGGGGACGCGTCGGGGGGGAAAGACACCCACGACTCCAGGCTCCGTAGGGTAGGCCTGGCCGTCGCGAATGTTAAGAGCTACGACACACCTACTCTAGGGCCTGTCTTGATAGGGGCCGCTCCCTGGGCCCTCTCAGAGTGTTCCTAGAGGCGAGCTTCTGGCGTTTCTTTGGGCTCTTAGATTCTCTGTTGGAGTTATCGTTTACGTTACTGACTGTGCTGAAGTGGCTAGGGGGTGGTACTCTGAGCTTTTTCGTCGTCCCGAGGGGCCGCAAGCCGACCTTTGGAGAGAGGTCGGCAAGCTCCTCTTACGACAGGCTCGGCAACCTGCCAGTATAATCATCATGCAGGTGCCCTCGCACCTCAGCCCACGGGAGTATCTCGCTCGTGGAATACCGAGTTGGCTTGTGATTGGCAATGCATGCGTCGACGTCCTTGCTGGAGAATCGGCCGCGCACGCGCGGGTTTCCCAGGCCAGTCGTTTCCGTGTCATGTCCATCGAACACAAAGCTCTGTTAGTGCGGAGGAGGCTTTTACGTGTAGGGTTGGATTCTATCAAGGCCGCCCAGGAGTCGGGGGAAGCTGGGGCCCCAGCTCGGGCTGGCCCACCTCCTCCTCCTCCTCCTCCTATCGCCATTGCACGCTTCGCGTCTGCCCACTCCCTGACCGAAAGTGGTAGGGCGTGTAGT